ACCTTTACTTTTATCCCATGGCAGAAACGGGCTTTAATACATACACGACTTATAATTGAGAACCTTTAAGAATTATTGTTCCTCTGGACTATAGTAGATACTCATAGATAGATACTGAATATGCATACAACACAGATGCATATTCAGTGCGTGTGTGTGTGAGTGTTTGTACATGTGTGTGTGAGTGTGTGCGTGTGCGAGTGCATGTGAGTGTGTGCATGTGCATGTGTGTGTGAGTGTGTGCGTGTGCGAGTGCATGTGAGTGTGTGCATGTGCATGTGTGTGTGTGAGTGTGTGCAAGTGCGAGTGTGTGAGTTAGTGGTCAACCGATTATCGGCATGGCCAATTATCGATGCCGATATTAAGCATTTTTATGATTATCGGTATTGGTAATTTTCAAAACCGATTTGCCGATAAAATAATTTAATTTTGAAACACGCTATTTGGCTCTAATGCAGCCTGTCAGAACTCACCACTCTGGGGCCTAGAGCAATCTCCGCCCACCGCCCATCTGATTTGTTGGGAGTCACGAGTCCGACCAGTCAGCATAGAAGGCTAAAGGCACTGAAAGGTTTGCACTCTCACACTGAAAGCGCATGCTAACTGGAGCTGCTTCAATGATCACGCATCAGTTGTCTCTCTAAGGCAGTAGCAGACGTTGCTGAAGTTGCAATAAATCACAATCCACTACACTGAATTTGCCAAACACCTCAATTTTATCTATTTATGGTTTCCAAGATGGGGAAAACGCGGACGGAATCGTACAGTACAGTATTCATAGGCTTAATCATGAAGCATACAGTGGCCACTTTTAACTCTCTCTTTATATTGCCCTTATTGTAGATGGATCCACGGAAGACAAGAGTAAGAAGTACAACCAACACCAGTGAAGGCAGTTTTTGTCAGAACCCTTGTTAGTCTTAATTTTGACATTAATTTAAATGTTTACACCAGACATATATATCGGTTCAAAATATCGGTTATTGGTCTACTTGGTCTGTAACAATCGGTATCGGCATCGGCCCTGAACAACACATATCGGTTGACCCCTAGTGTGAGTGTGCGTGTGAGAGTGTGCGTGTCAGTGTTTGCGAGTGTGTGCATGCGCGTGAGTGTGTGCGTTTGCGAGTGCGTGCGTGTGTGCTTGAGTGCGCGAATGTGCACGTGCGAGTGTGACTGTGTGTGTGTGTGTGTGTGCGTGTGAGTGTGCGAGTGTGTGCATGTGCGAGTGTGAGTGTTAAGTGTGCGCGTCGGTGTGTGTGCGCGTGCGCGAGTGTGTGTGAGTGTGTGTGAGTGTGCACGTGCGTGTGAGTGTGTGCGAGTGTGAGTGTGTGTGGGAGTGTGCGAGTGTGTGCTTGTGCAAGTGTGAGTGTAAGTGTGAGTGTGTGTGAGTGCGCATGTGTTTGTGTGTGTGTGTGTGTGTGTGTGTGCGTGTGAGTGTGAGTGTGCGAGTGTGTGCGTGTGCGAGTGTGAGTGTAAGTGTGCGCGTTGGTGTGTGTCCGTGCGCGAGTGTGCGTGAGCGTGTGTGAGTGTGTGCATGCGCGTGAGTGCGCGAGTGTGAGTGTGTGTGTGTACGTGTAAGTGTGCGCGTGGGTGTGTGTGCGTGCGCGAGTGTGCGTGAGCGTGTGTGTGTGTGTGTGTGTGTGTGTGTACACACACTGAATATGCCTATAAGCCAAGTCAGAAAGTCAGCTTTATTTATAAAGCACTTTGTAAAATATAGATACAATGTAAACAGAAATGTTTGAAATTGTTTTGATTACTAAGTGAACAAATGATGTCTTAGTGTTTTCACACATGATCACTGTGTGTAGGTCATCAGTAAATGAGTGTGGCATTTCAATGGCAGTGTTTCCCAAATGAAACAAAAGAGCTGTTAGTTTCGAATGATGTGTGTAGTGTAGAGAACTGTGTTTAGAGTTTTGCAAAAAGTTTGTTTTACAATAGCAAACTGAGTTTTAAGCATGTAATGTCCTTGTAGTTTTGCAGACTTGGTCTAAAGATTAGGTGTATGAGTGAATGGTTCACTAAGTTGGCCTCAAGTGTCACTTTTAGTGTCTAAGCAATTAAAAAAACTGTAAAATTACTAGAAGAATGTTTGCTCATAACTTTAGGAGAACCTTCTGAGAATGTTCCCTGGGTGAGCTGGGTTCACATGGGACACTGTTTATTGTGT